TTCAGCAGCATCTTCTGCTGTTCTCCTTCATGAACTCTACATTCCAGTTCCCCAAGACCACATTCAATTATTCACACAACAAATATTTCACAAGCACCCGTAAAATGTGCAGCACTGGTAATGGACTGTGGATAAAATGGCAAACATTGAAAATACACAGTCCCAAGCTCATGAACCTTACAGTGTAGCAGGGGGACATGAACTGAATAGATATTGTATGCTCTGATAGTTTATGATGGGGAAGGCAACCCAAGAAGGTCAGAGATGCCTTCCTTGAGCAGGCAGGGTTTGAGCTGAGACCTGAGGGATAAACAGAGTTAGCCAGTGAAGGAGAAAGTCAAGAGCATGCTCTACCCCCAAATTTATCCTGTGCCTTCCCATCTCCATGCCTTTGATCACTCTACTCCTTTCCCACTAGAATACCTTCTTATTGGAATGCTACATGTGCCTTTCCAGTCCAGCTAAAATCTCTGCACCTCCACTAAGCCTCCCCTGGGCTCTCCAGCTGAAAGCACTTTTTCCTTTACTCTCCCTTAGCACTGAATTTTCATTTTCTTTCAATACTTCTCACTTTCTACTGTATTTTCTGGTGATTTATACACACAGCTTTTCTTGTCTACTAAATCTTATTAAAAACGGAGTCTGTCTCTCATTCATCTTTGAGCTCCCAAAGGCTAGTACATTCCTTAGGCTCTGAAGTCCTGGAATAAATATTTGTAGCATAAATTAATGCCTGTTTAACATCCTTTTTCAAATATGTTGTAATTCAAATGAAGCTATTGTTGCAAGCTGGCCCTTTGGGACTGAACTTACTCTTTGGTTAAACCAGAATGCCATTGTCATGGTCCCCATGACTGATTAATGTTCACCACAGTGACCACAACAACCCGAACAAATAGGCCACTGTTCTTGACTGACAGGTGTTTGGCAACAACTGCCTGCCTTCCAGTGGTGCCTGAAATGAACTGAGAAGGGACTGTCTGAACTGAGTCCCCAGTCAGTGGGGCTCTATTTATTCATTGCAGTTTGGCTGCAAAAGCCCGAGGCCCAGGCTTTGGGCTGATGGAAGGCTATATGGTGCTTTCCAGGATGACAGAGACACTAATGCTTGGAACAAAACCATCAAAGATTAGTATCAGTGGAAAGCATCCCAATTTGAAGCAGGATGAAAACAAGGGGAAGGAGCTTTGAAGTCAGACAGACCTGGGTTTGGATCCTAACTAGCCATGTGATGTGACCCATGCGCCTTCTTTGAGTTTCAGATTTCTCATTTGAAAAATATTCTGCAAAACAGTTATGAAGATCAAAGCTAATGTCATTATATACATAATGCCTGTGCTCTATTAAATGTGTTCATTCATCTATCTTCTCCAATACAGTTTGTTCTCGAGGGCAGGGACTCATTTTTGCCTTTATTCCTGCAAAATCTAGCAAAGTGCTCAGCACATAGTAGACACTGGTTAATATTTTTTTAAACAAATGATTAAGAGCAACAGTAATAACTAGCCTTTATGGAATGCTTACTTCATGCCAGGTATTGTAAACAGTTCATTTAATCCTTCAATGACCCTAGAAAGGAGCAACCAATACAACCCAATTTTACAGAAAGAAAACTTGAATTTAATTTTTTAAATATAAAACTCTTGGTATAACAGATTTTGGAACAAAAGTCTGGTGAGATTCGTTTTATTTGATCAAAAGATAAACTACTTTATAGAACCTGGAAAAGAAAAAAGGTTGTAGAGAGAGAAAGAAGGACATAAATATAAGAATGGGAAGAAGGAGTAGGAAGAAGAAAGACACGTAGAAAAAAGAAACAGAAATAGGCAAATTCTGAGCAAAGTATAAAATAACTACTTAATCAAAATAAGATACTGTGGTCTATCACTGTCCTTTGAAATAGTAACTAGCCAACTAATCAATCACTCTTCTCAGCTCTTCAACTGTCATGTCTTTGTCCTTAAACTTTATGTGTAAAAAAAGCAAAACAAAACAAAACAAAACAAAAACATTTATTCGTAAATTCCGAGAATGACGGGGAAAAAGACTTATCTTTCAGAGTGACAAAAATTGGAATGGTTTTGAGGTGCTTGGGTGGCTCAGTCAGTGAAGTGGCCAACTCTTGATTTCAGCTCAGGTCATGGTCTCAGGGTGGTGGGATGGAGCCCTGAATCAGGCTCCGTGCTCAGTGGGCAGTCAGAGTCAGCTTGAGAGTCTCCCCTCTCCTTCTATCCCTCCCTCTGCCTGTGTCTTCTCTCGCTCTCTAAAATAAATAAATAAATCTTTAAAAAAAAAAAGAGTGGTTTCCTTCTAGTACAAAATGAGGAGATAAAGTTATCACTAAAACAGCAAATGGCATGAGCAAAAACTGTGAAAGCAAACAGTACATTTGAAGAACACCGAAGTCTTTTCAAAGCTGAAGCTTAAAGTCTACCACTGGGAGAACAGTGGAAAGTGCTACTGGAAGGCCATGAATAGCAGGGTAAGGAGTTAAACAATATTTAGCACCCAGTGCTTGCTGTTACGGGAAACAACAGTTGTGATTTTGAGCAAAATTTTCTAGTCCTCAGTTTAGAAGACCAGAACTATTGCTCGAGTGTGACACTGGGTAGTTTTACCCTAAACCTCAGTTTATCTCCAAAATAGGGTAATAAGGCACTTGTGAGGATTAAATAGGATCATACAACAAGGTGTGGTAGCTTGGAAATGTGGAAATGTCAAAACATTATATGAATGTAAGTTTTCACTAGTGGAGGATAAAACTGATGTTTAAAGAAGACTGACATAGTAAAATCACTAACATGATGGCTGTGAGATTAAAAAGGGAAAAATCTGGGGGCACCTAGGCGGCTCAGTGGTTTAAGCCTCTGCCTTCGTCTCAGGCCATGATCTCAGGGTCCTGGGATTGAATCCAGCATTGGGCTCTCTGCTCAGCAGGGAGCTTGCTTCTCCCTCCCTCTCTTTCTGTCCGTCTGCCTCTCTGCCTACTTGTGATCTCTCTCTCTGTCAAATAAATAAGTAAAATATTTTTTTTTAAAAAAGGGAAAAATCTGAATGACATCTTGAAAAAAGTTAATTGACTCAAAGATAACTGACAAATTTAAACTTTAGTGATTGGGCGAAAAATATTAATCATAGAAACTGGGAAATCGGAGGGGAATTGCATTTGGCTTTTAACATTTCAGATTTCAGCAGAACATCTATTAGAAATTAAGATTGGAGCTTGGCTAGGACATCAACTTAAGAACTCTGCAAAGAGCTAGTAGTTGAAACCATGAACAGAATAAGTCACCAAGTGAGAGTAAATAATGAGAAAAAGAGGATGTAGGTTTCTTAGGAACATCTGTATTTAGGTGGAAAAACTTGAATAAAGACAATAATTAGGTGCAGATCAGTGAGGCTAGCAATGTTCAACAGTAACCAAAAAAGAGGAGAAATTTTTTAGTTGAAGGTGAGCTACATGATCAATGCAAATTAGTAAACATGAATTTATTTAGGACTTGGTTTGGGCCCTGTGGGTGCAGGGAATCAACAGACAGTTGCTAGTGGTATTATTAGTGTTGATGCTGATTTAGATAACAATTGAAAAATTCAAAGGCCAAGACAATTACGGATTTTTATGTTGTTTTTGAAGGGTTGTGAGCAGTTTATTTGGGCAGGGGGATTTGTATGTGTATATGCATAAATATATCTGGCCTTGTCTTACGTTTTGTCCTTTGTATCTTCCTCCCCGCCAGTCCCCCGCATTTCTGTGTATGTTTGCAAGGAGTCTGTATTGCATCAGATTTCTTGTGGCTTGCCCCTCCACTTCGGCTCTTAGAAGGAGACATTTTGGGAGCTTTTTTTCCTATAACTAAGCCGGCTGCAGTCAGCAGATGGCACTGCAACAAGAGGGGCATTTAGTTCTTTTAGGACCTTGTCAAATGGGAACCTTATTTAAAATTTCGGCCTCGGATCCACTCTACCCCTATCATTAGGCTGTAGATATCTTTCCTCAGCTTGTGGAATTTGTGAAAAGCGCTGTCTTGATATCCCCGATTTCTGGTTAAACTGTCCAAGGTGACCCCAGCATTTAAATAAATACAACAGAGTATTGAGCATCTCCTGAAAGTTTAAAGGAACATCCACAGAAACAGGCACTTATCTGTATGTTTCCCGATAGACTGGAGCTTTAGGGACTGAAATATGTGACTTGTTTCTGTTATAATGTTTCTTACTTCATTCCGAGAGTTCAGAGCCTAACTATTCTGATTTCCATAAGGAGTAAGAAAGAAGTGATAAAGTGATGTAGGTCAATTATTTCTCAATAAAACTGGAGAAAAAATTCTGGCATACCCAGTAGCAAAAGGGAAGAAAGAAAGAGAAAAAAAGAAAGAAGGAAAATAAAAGAAGTAAAGGTAAGAAAGGGCAGCGCACCAAAAGCAAGTCTGGAGACCTCATGAGCCCTGCTGTCAAGAGTTCTCTCTTTCTTTTTAAATTTTTAAAGATTTTATTTACTTGACAGAGATCACAAGTAGGCAGAGAGGAAGGCAGACAGAGAGAGAGGAGAAAGCAGGCTCCCCGCGGAGCAAAGAGCCCGATGTAGGACTCGATCACACGACTCTGGGATCATGACTGAGCCTAAAGGCAGGGGCTTTAACCCACTATGCCACCCAGGCGCCCTGTCAAGGGTTCTCCTAATTGGAATCCCAGGACCGAGACCTTTCCGTCGCAGGAAGGTTGCGGCTTACACACACACTAGCTGTCACAGCGCAGAAAAAAAGTGCAAAGCTGCAAGCCTTTACCTATCCAAATTCACCGACATGAACAGGTCAGGTTAGGCCCCCGCGCTACTGCCGCAAAGACACCCAGAAAAATGTGGTTACCATGGCCACTTCAGAAGCCTCCCGGAAAGCCCTCTTTTCACGCGTGTGTACACAGCAAGCACCACCCATACGAGTCCCCTAGCTCCGCAATCTGCTAGCCACTCCTGAGTGCACTCGGCGCTCGCCTCTCTGCCCTTGCGCCTGCGTACAACGCCTTCTACCCGTCGCTGCGGCCCCGGTCGGGAAGTGTCAACACGGAGCTGGGTTCTCCAGTCTTTACCGATACCACTCACAGCTGATCCCGGAACCCCTAGCCAGGCCCGGGTCCAGCCGCCATGACGAACGGTGAGAGCCAATACCCAGAGTGGAGAATGGGAGTAAAGGACGAGGAGAAATGTGGCGGGCGGGGCCGGGACTGACGTGGCCATTCTCCCCGCCCCCTCCCAGCCCAGCCCCACCATGGCCTTTCAGTGCCCCAACCCTTGTTCCCCAAACCCTTCCGCGGTTCCCCCGTCCAGTGCCCATCTAGAAATACCAGTGCCTTTCGTTTCCACACTCCACACGAGTCCTCAGTCCTTGGGAAGAGAAAGTCTGTGCTTTCTCTTCCCCCTTCCTAAAAGTTCGTTCTAGCCCTTGCGAGACTTCGGGGCAGGCCAGTCCCAGTTGAACTATTGCTTTTGCACCAGGAAGAGAGAGGATCCTCCTCTCAGCCCCTACGTTTTCATACTTTCGGACTGTAGCTTCGTTGGGAGGACCAAAAAATCACAGAGAGTGTCAAGCCTCACACTTTTTGGAGGCGAATGTAGACCTTTAAACAAAGTTCTTGTTTTGAAAAAAAAAAAAAATGCCAGAAAGCTTTCTCTTGTTTGATTCTAAAGTCCTGCCTGAGAGTGATCCCATCTGGAGATCTGGCTAGTGTTGCAGGGGTTAAGTTTAGACACTGCCTCTTCTAAATGATGTGGCAGTTGCAACCCTGTTTATCCGACCTAATTTTCCAGACGCCTTCAAACACTTTATAGACATGATTGCCGAATTCCAGGGAGGTGCAGGAAGCAGGACTTTTATGGTCTTTAGAGTCAGCTTTACAGGAAAGAAGAGAAGGCCTCCTAGTATGATTTGAGGGGCATAGGAAGGTATTTCTTAGAAGTACCTTTTCCATAAGCCTGGCAGTAGAGACTCAGATTTCACCTAATTGGAATCCTTGTAAATTTTGGCATTGTCTGCAAGAACTTATGAAAGTAAAAGAATATATTAAACTGTCATTCATCATAAAAATTGCATGCATGTGTTAATTTACTGGACCCTTTCTCATGTGACAGCTGGCTATGAGATAGTTTTACTGGAGAGAGGGAGATAGAGTGGTGCGGAACTGGAAGCTACTGATTATGTAAAATAGCCTTTTGAAGCTTCCTGGGCAAGTCACAGGTCTGAAGTTACTAAGCACAGTACCAGAAGGAACATTACTGGAGGAAGAAATCATCCGAGCCAGGAAATAAGAAAGCAGTCTGATACGTAATAATTACTGAGTAAATTTTAGTTACCTTCCTCCTTTTATGGTCTGAATTTTTTTTTTTTTTTGCAGTTAGGTGCTTCATTGTGCTTACATGTACAAGAAATAGCTTGTTTTACATATGCAAGAAAAGGAACTAATTGTTCAACGCTTTTTTCCACAATTGTTCTATGTTGATACCTCAGATACTTTTTTTTTAAACAAGAATCTGTTATTCTAGCTGAAATTTGGTTTGTAAGTAGAGTATTGTGCATGAGGTGTAAGATAAGCATAGGAAAATTGTAGTTTTATGAACTCTAACTCTTGCTATTTCCAATTAAGCTTTAGGTTTTGCCTTAACATATTCTTCAACAAAGGCAGATTTGAGAGACTTAGCTAAACATCTGGCTCTCCTTTATCACATGAGTGACTGATAATAGCAACATGGGCACTTTCCTTAGCTCAGGCTCCAAGGATTCTTACGCCTCTCTCAAACTTTTACTAACACTGACCATTTCTGGGAGACTGATTTGTGATGCACTCTTCTCAGAACTTATAGCTCTTGAAAGGGGAGGAGAGGGTGCAGTGAAATCTTTCTAAGGGGGTTGTCTCCAAACAATTTGGGGAACAATGAAGTAACTTCGTTAGTCCCAGGATTTTGGCTCAATCTTGTCAAGTGTTGGCATTGCTAGTTGATTTTAGCATCTTGATATTATATCATTCTGTTCTCTTTGGAGTTCTCCAATGGGATCACCTGTCGCAAGCTAGACTTATACCAAAGGTGTATATGTGTCTTTTTTTCTTTCTGTAACAGTGTACTCCTTGGATGGGATTCTGGTGTTTGGTTTGCTCTTTGTTTGCACCTGTGCTTACTTCAAGAAGGTACCTCGTCTCAAAACCTGGCTGCTATCAGAGAAGAAGGGAGTTTGGGGTGTGTTTTACAAAGGTATAATCATCCCTGGACAGTGGGGTGCTACTAAGTGTAGGGGGGAGGGGGATTGGCCTGCAGTGTGTTTGGTTCCACTTTTACATAAGTTTATTTTAGCATCAAGGTAATTTTAATATTCTCCGTGGGGTAAAAGCATCTAAATAAAAGCAGTTTACACTGGCCTAGAACTGTTGGAATTTCTTCCCAATGAAAAGTTTTTCTGACTTTCAGAAAAGAATATATTGGAGTCTCTTTTAAGACTGAGTTCATTGGGGCGCCTGGGTGGCTCAGTCGTTGGGCATCTGCCTTCGGCTCAGGCCATGATCCCAGCCTCCTGGGATTGAGCCCCGCAGCGGGCTCCCTGCTTGGCGGGAAGCCTGCTTCTCCCTCTCCCACTCTCCTTGCTTCTGTTACCTCTCTCTCTCTCTCTCTCCCTCGTGTCTCTCTCTATCAAATAAATAAATAAAATCTTAAAAAAAAAAAAAAAGACTGAGTTCATTAACTCAGATGCTTTTTTTTACTTTTTATTAAGGGTATATCCTACCTACTTAAATCTTTTTTCAAAATAGAACAAAATACAAATTACAAAAAATACAAAATAAAAACAGTGTATTCACCTAGAATCTACGGCTTATGGATAGTATTTAAATGCATCCCTGGGTGGGTTCTTGAGAACCTTGATAGGTCTCTTCATTGTGACTAGAGATTTCAAAATACCACCTTGAAATGAGGACTTAAATGAAAGGCAGGGTGTGATTTCTTTTCTCTTTTTACTTTTGTCTGCCAGCCGCTGTGATTGGAACCAGGCTGCATGCTGCTGTGGCAATCGCCTGTGTTGTAATGGCCTTTTACGTCCTGTTTGTAAAATGAATTCCAAAGCATCCGTCTCTTCAGCTGCCAACCAAGAGGATGAGAGTGAAGAAACTGTCCGGGGCCTGGGCCCAGCATAAGAGAGCTCAGCTAAAATCATCAAAGTCCCCAAGATGACACCACAGCATTTGCCCCTACCATATAGGGGGGAAATTCCTCATGGTTACAAACATTATTTATGCTTCAGGGGACTCCCAGAAGGCCAACTTCTTTGGATCTGTGTGAATCAGTCCTCAGCAGAGAGCATATGATGTCCAGATAAATTACACCCCACAGTGATAAGATTACATACCTCCTGCATAAAAACCTGTCACCTATTCTGTTCTTCAGCCCATCATCAGGATCTTTTCAAACTGAGGCTCAGTATTCACACCTCTTGAGAAGAGAGAGAATTTTCAAGACTTGACCTTTTTTTTTTTTTTCCACTGTTGGATTTGGATTTGGCAAATTGGTGAGGGTGGGGGGCAGTGAGTTGGTGGGGTGGAGGGGGGTGGGGAACAGGAGTTACACAATGCCAAGAAAATTTTTTGGCTTTGGGAATTTCTCTTTCTTATACCCATCTGGGAACATAAGAGAGAGAGGCATGGTCCTCACTGCAAAAAGAGGACAGATGAAATAAACGTACTGTGTGCTGGTAGCTCAAGAGTTTGCCAAGAAAATCAGGGCCTACATAAGATTTGGGAATTAACTGTCCATAATGAGACCAGAAAGCGGTAACTTGATAAGGAAAAATGTTCTGTTTACCGATATCCCCCAAAGGAGACTTCATCCCATCAAATGGTATATGGAAAATGCATCCACTGTTGCAATTTTCCTAAAGCCTTTTTATATGCTCTGAATTACTGAGTCCTAAATAGTGTTACTCAGTCTTAAATGCTACCACTAGGGGAAAGAGAAAGTACTAAAGAAATAATTTTTAATATATTTGCAGTTAGGGTAAAAGAAGTCTAGTATGTAATTAATACGCTAGTAAGGTCCTCTAGTTTAAGAATTTATTGTGATGTTAGGTGGATGTTTTGTCATGTTATCCAAGACACAACCTTACTTTGTTTGAGTCTGGATTATTATGGCAATTTTTAATTGATCACTTGTTTTTCTTGGGCAACTCTTAGTTTTCCTCATATTGGAGTACTCTCTACCTATCTCTTGGAAATTCTTTGTATTATAAGAACATGGTAAATTGAAATGAGTGAGAGAAGTTGCTGCTATTCATGGGCATGTTTGGAAAGTTCACAGAATCCACAAATAAAATGAGGGTGTTTTCTAAAGTTAAGTAAAACAGATGTTTGCAATGGGGATTAATGGACTTTTCCGTGGATATGGCAAATTCTTACACAAATCATTTTAGATGTCTCAACATTTGAAAGGAAGACTTCTCCATTAAAAAAAAAGAGAGAGAGAGAGAGTGTGTTAGTCTAATTATTGTAAAAAGCAGGCATCAACATAGGAACCAATTGAATTGTCCATTCCAGTAAAACTTGACTGTGGACAAATCAGTTGTGGTTGACCCCTGTGTGGCAGGAAATTGTCTTTTGTCTTTTCTCCAAAGAAAAGCTGCTAGAAAGTTTAGGTTCTGAAATAAGCCAGTTTAGTGGTTTGAGAGTTTCTAGAGGTGTAAAAAGTCCTCAAGTAAACACTACTTGTCTAATCATCTCAGAATTGTGGCTTTTTTGTCTCTTCGAGAATTGGCGCACAGGGTAAATCAATTTCAATGTTTCATATGTTTTCTGTTGTCACTTCTGAGGATCTTTCACACGAGGGAAAGGACATCTATTGGAACAGAAAAGAAGAGTTACACCTTGTAGGTGTGTTTGGGACCTGTTGGCCAGCAGGAAGGTTACTCCCTGGAAATACAGGTTCAGCATGTTTTGCACTTGTTATTTTGTAGCTTTAATGACTTGTTTTCCAATAGGGCTAATGTCTCTAAGCTCAGTGAGGAGAGCTGCTTCGGATTTTAAACCCATTTCATTTCACAGTTCTAGGCGTTGAAACCAATTTTTACAGCCTCCCGGGTGGGTCATCTTGACATAAATTGTTATATTTTGAGATGTTTTCCTAAGAGAATGTACCAAAAAGTGCACAGAATGAAGGCAGTTTACAGCAAGAAACAAATACACAGCTTATTTCATTTCTTGCTTTTATGTAAGCAGAGAAGCAGAAGGCTGTTTAACTCATTGCTTTGGTTGATGTGTCATATGTTTTTTGAGTGAAAATTGTAGAAGTTGTTCCTCTGAGGGAGTCTTTTGGGGTGGAAGAAGGGGGATAGCGATATTGCCTCAGATTCAAACTGGCATTACCATAAGCTCTGAATGCCAGGGTGGAATGAAGTCAGCCTTTTATAGTTAAAATACAAATTTTTATTCACCATTATCTGTACAAATCCTTGAAAATAAAATTTCTTTCCCTACCATTTTTGTCCATTTTATTTGTCACATGATGGAATTCATTGAACGTTGTTCAATACTCCCCTTGGTTCTACCCAAGTATACCTTTTTAGTTTACATTAGTGAATATCATTATTCCAGTTGACCCCTTGTGATGGTCACCAAATATATGATATAGTTTAGAATTTGTGAAGGTGCAGTTTTTTCCTTTGAGGGAGCTAATACATGTATCAGCTTATATATATAAATATATACATTACATATATATACATATATATGGATAAGTTGTGAAGCATGTTAAATAAGGCAGACAACAATACATTTTATCCACCACTACTATTAAAAGACATATTATGTTATTAGCAGCCATGAACTTCATTCAAATGAGGTTATCAGGTTAACCAGCCATGGCACATAAATGGATAGTATCCCCCTATTTGTTTATTCCAAGTGTATGGTGGAACTGGCAGTTACAAATTATAAATTCACAAAATTCTGATTTATCCTACCCACACACACACCTTTTTCATTGAAGAAGGAGAAAGAAGGACCTGAGACATTAAAAGTGTGTTCCCCGGTATGAATGGAGCTAATTCGCATTATATAAACACTACTTTTTTTCACTACTTATTCTGGAGTTTGAAAGTTAGACATGCTGTAATGGATGTGAAAGTTAAGTGAAGGTTCAGCAAATGAATGCCATAGATAGCGTCAAGTTCCTGGTAACAAGGGGGCTCTTGTAAATGCCAGGGATATGCCTTCCTACTTATACTCATTTCATAGTATCCTGACTCCCAAGACATTGGATTTAAATAATCTATTCCCAACTTTCTCTTTGCTAAAGTGGTGTTTTCCTTCTCCCCTGGGGGAAGGAGCTATTGGAGAAGCTGATACTGGTTAGTGACCAGGATTTGCCTTTCCATGGGAAAGCAGTAGGTCACCTATAAACCCCCTACACTGAATCATCTTGTATTCAGAACCTGAATGAAAGACTTGGGTCAAAGACCAAAGGAAAGCTATATATACGGATATAAGCATGTACCTGCACAAAGATCTTAAGACACAATTTAGTATTGTGGGAACTTGTCCAGCTTTTCTCTGGGACCCGGGTTCCCCTCCGGGCCACGCGGGGGCAGCAAAGCGCACACCAAGGGAGAGGCTGAGCTCAGTGGTTCCTCCCATAATCCTCCGAGGCTGGGGGGGCGGAGAGATTTAAAAGAGGGTGAGAGTTCCGGTCCCTTCCCGGAGGGAGCGCGGCTTGGGGACCGGGTGTGTTGTGTGTTTTTACGGTGCTGCGTGGATGGCGCGTGTGGGCTGAGTGAATGGACGCGCGAATGCGTGAGTGTGCGCATGAGGCGTGCAAGACGAGTGTGAGCGCCCTTCCCTGAGCCCCTCCCCCCGCCTACACCTTGATCTTATTTGATCGGGTTGCGACCCGTAGCCCCGCCGGGCCAACCCGAAATGAAAAGCTCTCCTCCTGCGAAGCCCCGTCCTCGGGACTATGTGCAGCGAGGCCCCTTGGGCGGCGGCAACGCCGCGGCCCCGGAGCTGGTCTTAACGGGGCCCGGCGCTCAGAAGTGATGAATTGATCAGATAGACGAGGCCGGGCTTGTCTCGGGCCGCTGATTATCGAGGCGATTCTGATCTGAGCCCGGCCCCGGAGCGTGATCGCCCGTGGCATTGGGGCTAAACGTTAAAAGGCGGCGGCGGGGCCCGGCGCTGGGGGCTGGGGCGGGGCTGAAGGAGCTATCGCCCGATCTGCGGGAGCGGGAAGGGCACGGACGCCTTGTTTGGTGCTGCAGTGCTTTTCCCTAGTCCCTTTCCTTTTTTCCTTTAGGCCCGACGTGTGATGACTCTTTGTATGGTACTAACACTGGTGCCCCCCTGTACAGTATATGCCGCTGAAGGTTATACATACATGTATATCTCCATAAGGGAACTTGGAGAGCTTATAAAATGTCAGATTCCGGGGACCCCATCCCCGATTTACTGAATTAGAATTATTAAGGAGGTCCACGAGTCTATATTTTTAAGACTCGATTTACGGGTCACGATAATAACATTTTTTTAATAGTATCAACCTGTATGAGATGATTAGCTAGAGAGTCACCCCTCTCTGCCACTTTCAGCCATTCTAAATAATGAGAACTGAAACTTGATATTGCCACTTGGCAGCAGATGTTCTGAATAGGTTGGAGCATCTCTGTGGAAGAGGAGCCGCGATAGTTCAATGGAACTTAAGGACCCTGTGCCTGAGTTAACAGGAAGAAACTCTTTCATATCTGAATTGTTCAACAATGCATATGTTGTCCAAACTTAGAAATGGGAATTTACCCTACAATGTTCTGAAAGTTCTGCCATTTCTTGTCCAATCTAACAGCAGGTTCCCCTGAGTGACTTAAAATTTTAGAAACCACATTAATGCATGTTTTTAGATACCTTCAAACCCAAGCACCAGGTTGTTGAACCACATTTATAATAATCAGGGGCGGTATTTCACAGCATAAACTGACAAAAGGAAAATGACTCCCAGGCAAAAAGACAGCAGAATTAGAGAATGAACAGTAGCAAGGAGCCAGGTCCAGGAAGATGGAACCCTTATGGAAAAGTAGAGCCCAGCAGATGACTAAATCTGGAAGGTCTGAAATATGTTAAGTGTGACTTCAGCATAAACGTTAACGCTACACAGAGTTACCAGAATTATGGTGTGGTAAGCTCATTAAGAAAATGGGCTATGTCCCTGACACTTAGCTCAGTGGCTGACATACAAGTTTGCAAGAAATGTTGATATATCTATGTTTGGAATAAGCCCAGTTTACAAAATATAAATTCCTGTCCCCTGCCAAAAACAATGGTTTTTTTTTTTCTTTTTCTTTTTTATTTTAAGTAGACTCCATACCCAGCCTTATGTGGGGCCTGAACTCATGACCCCAAGACCCAAGACCCGAGCTGAGATTAACAGAGATAGTTAATCAACTGAGCCTTGAAGGCACCCCATATGCTGTTTTGCTCTAGATCCTTAGCTTTTCAGCAAGATGACTTAACAAATTGCAAAAATGTC